GTTGTTGTAAACATTGAATTCTTGAAATCTAAGTGGAATGCATCCTTTGTAAACTTTGTAGAAATGTATGATGAAGAGAAAGATATGAACCTTGTTAGGGAAGATGATGGGGAAAGGTAAGCTTCATTGAACAAGATTTTCTTCTAAAACACATTTTGAAGTACCAGTTAAGCTGTTGTACATGTAAGACCACCAGTATCATATCCTAATTATAATATACAGGGTTTGTACACGTTTTGGAAAACCTGGAGAGTCCTGGAATTTTATTTTGCAATTTTCCAGGACTTCCCAGTCCTGGAAAGAGACTACAGGCCCTAGAAATTGCTGGGAATCTGCTTAAACTTGAACAATAAAGTTTTCAGAATTTATGTTATACATGTAAGAAGAAAATGTAGACTGTAAGGAGAACTGACATCGAAATCTTAGGAATGAAAGAGTTACAGGTGAAATCTGGAGTCCTAGAAAAATCAATATGAGTCCTGGAGAAGTTCTGGGAAAGTTGTTAAGATATTTCTTTCAGAAAAAGGGTATGAACTCTGATTTATGAGGAAGGAAATCAGAGCTGAGGTGAAAGTGCATGCAAAATAATGAAACTAGGCATCACTTTATATCATAGTGAGAGAAGGAAAAAAATACCTGATACATGTACTTCACAGAAGGAGGTTTAAAATTTTTGACACTGTCTTCCATATGATATACATGAAAATTTACAGTTGTAAATGCTCCTCTCAATGTTCAATGCCCAGCAGACAGTCAGAATGAATTTGATTCAGCGCACAGTGTTGGTTGACAAGTGGGTGACTTGTTAGCAATTGTTTTATTTGCATTTGTAATTACTGGTATACTATAGCTATGTCAGTCTGTAAAAATGGAAATTTTTTGTTGTTGTTTTGGTAACTTGTCTTTTGTTTTATTTACTTGTGTGAGTATGTAATTAATTGATGTCCTACTTTGTTGAATCATTATTTTTCATGTCCTTCTCGCAGAGAGGAAGCTAAAGAATCACTGTTCACAAAAGGACAATCAAAAAGAATTTGGAATGAGCTTTACAAGGTAAAAAGAAAGAACAAGGGGTATTGAGCTGAAACGCAGCTTGGCATTGCATCTTTTCTAGGAATTTACCCATGCATTACATCAAAATTTCATGCAAGCTGAATGGTCCTTTTTCAACCTCAAAAGTGTGTACATACGTATGGACTTTAAGCCGAAAACTGAGAATTCAAAGGTTATACTTGTCTATGACTAGTCTGACTTATTTTTCTTGTTTTGGACAACTGCAGTAGAGCTCCATATTGATAATAATTTTAAATTCTTTCCAAACTTCAAAGTCAAGTGCTAAGCCCTTAGAATAATTTTAATTTGTTTATTTATGTGTTTTTCAGGTCATAGATTCATCTGATGTTGTCATACAGGTATGGAAAAACCTCAAACTATTGAGATCTCATATAATGTTACTGCAAAGTATTTTCTGCTTAAAGGGGGAGGCAGACTGATTAATTATCATAGTCAAAACATGTGAAAGTTCAAAGTTAGTGCTACATATACTTTGTGTTTAAAACTAAGAAGATTTACTGAAGAATCATCCCAAATGCCTTTATTCACACCATTTACAGAGGCAACATTTTTTTTGAGTCTTTGGGATTAACTGCCTTAGAGGGTTTGCACGTTGATCCAGCATTGGCATTTTTCTAAATGCTATCATGCCCAGTTTTTTTTTTTTTTTTTTTTTTTTTTTTTTTTCATTCTTCAAAAAAGTTCTTGTAGATCTGTAAGCACGGTAGTAAAAGCGTCATGTTCTTAGAAACTATGCGTGTTGTTGTAAAGAACTGAAAATAGAAAAAGGGTGGTGTCTCTTTGTCTGGTCGTGGCTTCCTTTTGTAACGATGTAAGAATTACAAAGCACATATTGGACTAATAGGAGGTGCTATGACATGAAGTATGGTTAGGGTAAGGATTAGTATTTGAACCCGGTATCTTTCTAAACGTGATACCCTAAAGAGAGCGTGGTATTCTGTGGAATACCGTGCACTAACGGAAATACGTCATAGCCACCTTATTTCGAAAAAAGCCAGGCTGTTTGTACTCGCTGTGATTGCTGCATGGATGCCCGATTACGGCTAGACCACTCTAGAAATTTATTTAGCACCAGGTTTGAGTTAACGTGTGATCGAGGCATCAGGAGTTAACTGTACATGTAAAATCGTGAGCCCCCTAAAAGCAAAGTAATATTTTTATACATAAGGTTATTTGGGCTTTCATTTTAGGTACTAGATGCTCGTGATCCCA